ATCTGATGAGGTCACCATCTAACTTGTTGCTGGAGAGGTTTTGGTACTGGAGGGCGCCAAGATCTGCTAGCTGCGGCGGGATCCTCGAAAAACAAGAAAACTCTTCGATCTGATGAGGTCACCATCTAACTTGTTGCTGGAGAGGTTTTGGTACTGGAGGGCGCCAAGATCTGCTAGCTGCGGCGGGATCCTCGAAAAACAAGAAAACTCTTCGATCTGATGAGGTCACCATCTAACTTGTTGCTGGAGAGGTTTTGGTACTGGAGGGCGCCAAGATCTGCTAGCTGCGGCGGGATCCTCGAAAAACAAGAAAACTCTTCGATCTGATGAGGTCACCATCTAACTTGTTGCTGGAGAGGTTTTGGTACTGGAGGGCGCCAAGATCTGCTAGCTGCGGCGGGATCCTCGAAAAACAAGAAAACTCTTCGATCTGATGAGGTCACCATCTAACTTGTTGCTGGAGAGGTTTTGGTACTGGAGGGCGCCAAGATCTGCTAGCTGCGGCGGGATCCTCGAAAAACAAGAAAACTCTTCGATCTGATGAGGTCACCATCTAACTTGTTGCTGGAGAGGTTTTGGTACTGGAGGGCGCCAAGATCTGCTAGCTGCGGCGGGATGTGGCCTGTAGATGAACGTGTCAAAGCAGATCGAAAAAAAAGAAAACTCCTCGATCTGATCAGCTCACCATCTAGCTTGTTGTTGGAGAGGTATAGGTACTTAAGGGCGCCAAGATCTGCTAGCTGCGGTGAAATGTGGCCTGTAGATGAACGAGTAGCAGAATAGTTTTTGTGAGGTAGCGCGAAAAACATCCCGGAGTTGTAGAACATTGGTCCCGCCTATGCAAGAGCAGGTGCCCAGCCAAGAGGCGTACACTTATGACCTAAATGTCGCTGTTGTGTCACAGTACTGGGCCCTGTTGAGTGCAGGTATGTGTCCACAGATTTTGCCAGACACTACATGGGGCCACCGGCACTATTCCGAACACATGGATTTCTGTTTTATAGAGGGGTGCGGCGGCGACGGGTGGTGCGGTAGGTTTGGTTGGCGGTATATTGTCGCGGTAGCATGGACGAGTGCTAAATTCTGACATTCATTCCGTTTCACAAGAGTTTGAGGAGGGCGAGGGTATACCCCAGGGTGTACCTGAATCATTGGCGGAGCCCCTCTGGGGCTCCGTCCCAACACGTGTGTAAGGTGAACGCTCACAGTTTACACGGCCAATCTCGGAAGGAACTTTGACCCACCGCTAAGTAGCAACCAGTCTGTGAGTCGGCGCAAGAGAGATAGATCGGGATAGACCTTACCTAGACCCCCCTTGCTAGTCCTACCTTGATTAGCCCCCCTTGGTAGCCCCCCCTTGACTCAAATGGTAAGAAACGATGCAACTAAGCATGCAATGGATGAAACCAGTTGAACCCTAGCCAGTGTTTGTTACCCTAACACATGGGTGAATACTCTAAGCGATAGCGTTTTAACCACTGGTACCGTGTGTCGAGAGATTTGACCGGCACTATTCCGGACACTGGCACTAGTCAGATAAAGGGGTGCCGTGTACGGCACAAGAAAACTCACGCCCTGGACTGATTTTCATAGCTCGATTTATCAAAAGCAGAAGGAGTTGCAGCGCCGAATACGACGACGTTGGAGCCGGCTAGTCGAGAGCTCTCCGAAAACGTATCGTTTCATTTGTGCGTCCTCTTGATTCGTGGAGTAATCGAGCTTTGAGAATCGGTTAAGAGGGTATGTCATCTAATGTCGCACACGCTATTTAGGTTTTGCTACGGGAGTGGACAAGTTGGTGTGCGGAGATTTGACAGGCACTTTACCGGACTGTGGCACCACCGGATGCTGCATGACGTAAGATATCACACCCCCCTGGACCGATTTTCGTGCTCGATATCTCCACAGGAAAAACAGCAATGACGGTGCCGAAAATGGCGGCGTTGGAACCGTCTCGCCGAGAGAGTTTTCCGGAAACATACTCTTTGGTTTCGGCATCCTCTTCGTCGTTGAGTAATGGAGCTTTGAAACTCGGTCCGGTGTGTGTGGAATGGAACTCGGTCCGGGGTGTGTGATATCTTGTGCATCCTACGGTATTGAACCGGAACTATCCAGGGCCCACCTCTGCACAGCAGTTCGAGTTTGTAAAACCAAACAGCCGGAGAAATCACCTCTCCTTTTTCGCAAAGTATGCGTGGCCTCACAGAAAAACTACAACACCCTTTCGAGATATAGACACAGTCGAAAGGGATGTATGTGCTGAAGTCTCTTCAGTGAGTGGAGGGAAACCGGCTGGAAACTGAACATATTTTGAGTTTGTCCAAGCCTTTACACTTTTGTTTTTTCTCTACCCATCGGCAAAATTTGAAACAAGCGTCGGCCGACATACGATTCCCCAAGTGCGTGTGAGCGAGTACGCAAATATACAATGAGTCGGAGAGATGGCACCTACCCCTGTGCGAGAATTGTTTTGTTGCGCACATGTTTCTCCACAACCAGGGGGGTATGTACCACTGCCGAAAAGAGTAGTACCGTAAGATTGCGAGTCAGCGCACAGGGGTTCGATCGGTTTTCAAAGCGTAATATCTCCACAACCAGAAGGGCGCGAGCGTCAACTGACACAGCACTGCTCAGGAAAGCTCTCGATGAGATATATTTCAAAGCCGCCCTTTTCGATAGTGGTTGTGGAGAAGTTGGGCCTTGAAAATCGATCGCACCTCTGCTCGCTGACTCGCTGCCTTAAGAGTGATTTTGGAAACATTTCGTCGAGGGCTCTCCTGAGAGGTATCGGTTGGTGTCCGCACCCTCCTATTAGTTGTGGAGAAATTCGCAGTAAACGACCCACGTAACACCGAAGTGGGTGCCATCTCTCCAACTCTTGCGGTACCTTCGAAAGGGGTGTGCCGTGATGGATTGGTTACCGTGTACGACACAAGATTACACACCCCCTGGACCGATTTCCAAAGTTCGACTACTCCACGACGAAGGGGATTCGTGAACGAAACGATACATTTTCGGAGAGCTCTCGATCAGACAGCTTCAGCGCCGCCGTTTTCGGCGCTGCGACTGTTTGTGCTGTCGATAAATCGAGCTGTAAAAATCGGTCTAGGGAGTGTGTTATCTTGTGTCGTATACCGTACGCGAGGCTTCACACCTGCTTGGGGAGAGCGAGCTCCTGCAATGAAGTAGAACCGTCTCGTGGAGAGGGTTCCGAAAACGCGATGTCGCTTCGTTCATGCATCCTATTCGTCGTAAAGTGCTGCAGTCGAGCTGTAAAGATTGGTCCAGGGGGTATGGTATCATATGTCACCTACGGTTGGCCATGCAAGGTTTCACATCCTGCGTGAGCGAGAGCGCCAGCGAGCCTGGGAGCAAGTAAGAAATGTGCAGTCTATATTCGAAGTAGTACACAACTCGGCCATAAGGACAAGTGCCAGAACTACGTGCTTATATACGAGGCAGCGGACACTACGTGCGGCGCCATCGGCAAGTGAAAACCTGTCGGACGAGCCGTGTTCCTTCTTTAGGTTGGGTGCGTCCCGTCGTAGGTAGGTTACGCAAGGTTCAAAATCCTGCAGGGCTACAGTACCCCGAACGCTAGGCTAAAACAACCCCTCATCAAAGGCCTCTGTTCACTCCGCCCATCTCCTTCGTGTTGTTTCTGGATTTTCAACGATGAATGTACTGGCGGTGCAGAGCTACCCCAATGCAAAGCCTCCCATTAAACACCTTGGTTTACTCCCGTCCCTTCCGTACGCTCTTTGTCTAGAACTTAAACTATGAATGCAGGGCGGTGCCGAGCTGTGCCCTAACCCCAAAACCTCTCATCAGACGCCTTTGTTTTACTCCCGTCTCTTGCGTGCGTTATTTTTCTAGAGCTTCAACAATGAGTGCGAGGCTGTGCAGAGCTATCTCGAAACCCTAAACCTCTCATCAAAAGCCTCGGGTCACTCGGGTCCCTTTCCGTACGCTCTTTGTCTAGAACTTCAACGATGAATGCAGGGCAGCGCAGGGCTGTGTCCCAACCCCAAAACCTCTCATCAGACGCCTCTGTTTCACTCCCGTCCCTTACCACGGTCAATTTGCCTTTTTGGTAAAGTACAAGGTCTTTGTATTTCGGTAAAACACCATGCGTATCGCGCCTCTTCTCACATGCGTCCTCCCTTGCCGGTGTTCATTCCTAGAACCTCAACGATGAGTGCGAGGCTGCTCAAAGCTGTCGGCAATAATAACCGCCACCCCATCTCATCGACCGCCTCCGTTGACTCCCGTCCGTTGTTTTTTTCCGAGCTTCAGCGATGAGTACGAGGCGGTGCAGGGCTATCTCATGAAACTCCTCCCCCCCTTGCTGGCGTTCTTATTGTTCTAGGACTTCAACGATGATGAGTGCGAAGCTGTCCAGAGCTACGCCAACCCCCTCTTCTCATGAAACTCCTCCCCCCTTTGCTGGCGTTCTCATTGTTCTAGGACTTCAACGATGATGAGTGCGAAGCTGTCCAGAGCTACGCCAACCCCCTCTTCTCATGAAACTCCTCCCCCCTTTGCTGGCGTTCTTGTTATTGTAGGACTTTAACGATGATGAGTGCGAAGCTGTCCAGAGCTATGCCGACCCCCCTCCTCTCATGAAGCTCTTCCCCCCTTTGCTGGCGTTCTTATTATTCCACAACTCCAACGATGATAAGTGTGAGCCTGTTCAGAGCTATCGCTAGAAATGAACGCCACCCCCTTTCATCACACGCCTCCTCCCGTCCCTTCGTTACGTTAGTTCTTCCACGATGAGTTCGAGGCTGCGCAGGGCTACCGGTAGAAACGACCGTCCCCTTGCTTCTCATCAAACGCCTCTGTCGACTCCCGTCCGTCCCTCTGCTTGCGTTCTTTTTTTCCAGAGCTTTGACAAAGAGTGCGAGGCAGCGCAGAGCATCGGTACAAAAGCGACCACTTTGCCTCTGATCAGATGCCTCTGTCGATTCCCGTCCCTTGCTCATGTTATTTTTTTCCAGAGCTTCGACGAAGAGTGCGCGGCTGTGCAGAGCTACCCCAACGCCACCGTTGCCGAGTATGGAACCGTCGTGGGAGAGGAGAACATCATGGCCGAGGTCTTCGCGAGGGGCCCCGTGGCCTGCGACATCAACGCCTCCACGCTGCACGAGTACACGGTAAGGGAACTTACATCGTATACGGAGAGGGCTTGCTCGATAGGTTCTCCCCTTTTTTGTGCTTTCGTTTGCTCGTAGAACTCGAATTGCTAGTTGCGATTGAAACGACAGTTTTATGAACCGACAGCCCTTGACTTTGAGATGACCGTCTGCAACCCTATGCCCAGAAGGTGCGAGAGCGCCGCTCAAATTGTGCTCGTTGCTTGTTTTCCTGGTAGCACTCGAGGTTTGGGTCCATTTTATTGTGGATATTTTATTCCTTTTGGGGCAAGTTTGCCTGTGTGTGCTTTCGTCCTATTTATTTTGGCGACAGTCTCCCCATTTTTCATGGTGAGACGTGTACTACACTTTTCAGCGTATGTAGAGTACTACACTTTTCAGTGTATTTTTTCGTACAACTACAACCATTCAGGGCCACACAGGAGGGGGTAAACACCAGGGCTTTTTTCTTCTTTTTATTTCTTTTCATGCCCCACCTTCCTCCTGCGGTGCGGGCTGAATTTGATTTTTATCGCGCGAAGGGTCCAGCCGTCCCTTTCCCTCGTCAACGGTGCTAACGTCGAAGTTTGGTACTCACGGGAGCTTGTCAGCTATATGTCGCTTTCACCCGCATATTTCGTAATTTTTTCACCCCATGGGGATTCGAACTAACGACCTCTGCGACTAGCGGATTACGAGGATACCACTAGACCACCGGGGCGACCGGTCAGCTTGTGACCACGGGAATCGACCGCGTAAGTGTTGGTCTAGTACCGACAGATGGACGGTACTGGGTACAGAGATCGGAACGGTTTCTAATGTGAATACGTCAACAACGTTGGGTAAATTAGCGTTTGACCACGGGAATTGACCGCGTCAAGTGTTAAGTCTAGTAGGGACAGATGGATGGTACTGAGTAGAGAGATGGGAAATGTTTTTAATAATGCATCAACTACAACTCGAACTGCTAGTCGCGGTTGAGAAATGAAACTGCTGCTGCCATAGCAACAGTTACAAGTTGGGTGTTGTAATTCACTACTGTGAAGAAGCATGTTCTAGGTCGTTCCTCGCCTCTATTTTTTCATTATTTTTCCTGTGGCATTCGTGCTGCCTTGTAGAGTTGGAGTCAGCCAACCGTTTACAAGGATGATAATCTACCAACAGTTACAGGTTCGACGCCTGCCGCGTGTTTCTAGGACGGCATCGTGGGAGTCCAGCCAACCCACTGGTAGGGAGCATTCCATGCCGGATAGTGTTCTTTGCTGTTAAACGGTTTGCTAAAAAAAAAAGCGGCAGCTACAACTTCGCCGCCTGCCGTTTGTTCTCAGGGTGGCATCGTCAACATCCCGGAGCTCCCGGCAGGAACTGACCACGTCGTCGCCATCGCCGGCTGGGGGGAGACGGAGGAAGGGGTGAAGTGAGTAGTACCGTCAAATTCGCCAATACGTAAGACGTGCTTCCCTCAATCAGGGCACAATCGTGTTGACATGCACCACAGAGCCTACGGCACAGGGGGCTCCGTAACTCCCTAGTTTCCGGATCACACGTGTAGATACCCCATATAGGCTCCGTGTATCAGACCGACCGCCGTGTATGCGCACAACATGGCTACAGGAGCGCGTATTTGTAAAGCAAGTTCTGGGTTTCCCAAGAGACTCTGAGCTTGAAGCCAGCTGGGGGGAGGCGGAGGAGGGATCGAAGTGAGTAGCGCCCTTGGGACGTGGCTAGCGCCCACGCAAATACAACATCTCTTTGCCTGATCACAGGACGCCAATAAGAGGCTCCGGAAAATATCAGTATGCCACCGTGGGTTTCATTGGGCTCGTGGCTTGTTCTGCAGTAGCCGGGCTCTGGGTACCCAAGGGGATTGAAGCCGGCTGGGGGGAGACGGAAAAGGGATTGGAAACGTGCGCCCTCATTCCAAACGAAAGGATCGTGCCCAGCTCCTGGTTCATCTTTTGTGAAACGTACCCGGGGCCGACGAAAACCGGGCATATATGTCGCTCCGTCCCCACATCGTAACAAATCAAGGTCAATGGTCCAGCGAATGAGGTATGCTGTTTTCACGAGTTCCCACCTGATCTGATCGGCGCTATGGGAACAACCCTCCTCCGTCATCTCTCGAGGACGCGTGGTGCGCAGTCAATGGTCGATTACCGTGAAGGCATGGCAACCCCCCCCCCACCTACCCCTACCCTTCCGCTACCAACCCCATCTCGTAGGTTCTGGATCGTCCGCAACTCGTGGGGGGAGTACTGGGGAGAGGGCGGCTGGTTCCGCATCAAGCGGGGAGAGAACCAGCTCCTCCTTGAGTCCAACTGCGGCTGGGCCGTGCCCGGGTCTTGGACCGAGCTCCACCCCCACCCCCACCCGCCCGGTCCGCCGGGGCCCCACCCTCACCGCAACGGCGCGCAGGAGCAGCAGCAGCAGCAGCAGCAGCAGCAGCAGCAGCAGCAGCGGCAGGAGAGGTTGAGATCGCAAGGGGAGGAAGGGGCTCTGATGAACTTGGGCGCCGAAGCCTTGCGTCGCCTGGGAAGGACTAGGCGCGGTGCCGATGAAGCGGAGGCTTAAAGGGGAGACATGTGCCGTTCTAGAACATCGGTCCTGCCCATCGAAGAACAGGTACCCAGCCAAGAGGCATACACTAAAAACCTGTACTGGTATAAGTCGCTGTTGGGGTGGAGTAGTGGACCCTATTAAGTGGCGGTGTGTGTCGACAGTTTTTACCGACACTATGCTACGGGGCCAACGGCACTATTCAAAACCGGGGTATTTTTTTTTTTTGCGGAGGGGTGCGGCGGCGGCGGCGGCGGGTGTTGCGGCGGGTTTGGTTGGCGGTGTATGGTGGTTACCGTGGCGGCGATAGTGGAACGTGTTGATGGTGGTGGCGGTGACGATGATGCCACGAGGGAAGCTACATACGGTGGATCGAATTTGGGGAGTAGGGAATGAAGAAGAGTTATTTTTCAGTTTCATAAACCATGCAGCTCAACCTCTCGCTTAGAACAGTGTAAGCAAACAACTTTTATTCAGCAAAGCTCGGAAGGCCGGGTGCGAAGTTTGGCGCTTTCCTGAAGCAAACCTTACATTATGATTTTGGAGAATTTGAGAGGGTGCGTACCGCATAGCCGTGAATGATTCCAATTGTTTGTATGCTGTTGTGACTTCAGTGTTCGTGAAGAAAGCTTGTCTGCCGCAGCCAGCCAGCTGCTTGACCGAAGCGCCAGCCTTGAAGGTGACCCTCAATTTTTTTCCAGAGTTGGAACCTATGTTTGGAGGGAGGCGGTGGAAGTTCGTTTGTATTACCTATTTATTCTGTTTTGTGTTGTGATGGAAAAGGTTGTGTAGATGCTACTGATGCCACCCTCCCCCCTGTTAGTGAGCGTATGAAAGGAGGGCGGGAGAAATGCGGGGTTAGGGAGAGACGTCTCGCGAGCATGTAGTAGAAGTTTTCACTTGCGAAATGACTGTCCCGCCACCGGACTGCGTTGTAGCATGTATAACCCTTGGGGAGAGGCGCGCGGTGATGCTTGTGGGATGCACACGCATCCAATGTAATTACGTCGCGTTGGTGTAAGTAATTGTGCATGAGGGACCCACTAGTATGTAGACCTCGCCAAGGTTGGACCGATGTCATCGAATACGCCGCATCCATCGAAAAGGGGTGACAGGAGAGATTGACAAGAATACAATCTTCGTGCCCTCCGTTTATTTTTTGCCTCCGACGGTGTCTGCGAAGTGGCTATGTGCGGTACTTCCGTACAAGTGCGAAGTAGCTGTATTTACTGTCATTTAGTACGAGAGCTTGGGACTAAAACGCTGACGATATATTGGTCGGCTTGCTCTTAGGCAAAGCAGCAAAAGGGGCCTCTTCCGGATGACACACCCCTCTCTCCCAGCCCGAAAGGGCGAGAGCTTATCATGTTGCCAAGAACGGGCCTATCACGAAGAGGATGCAGCGCGCACCTGCTGGCGCCGGCTCCCCGGCGTGTGTACAGTGTTTTGTGAAATGTCCTGGTTTTTGGGGCTCTTAATCTCGGATGAATTTCGGAGCTAGAAGAAAGCGTCTTACCCATGAGCAGGTGAACATTGTACAAAATCCGCGGGTCTCCCGCGGACATTTGCTTAGACCCCACAATACGAGTCCTGTTATCGTCGGAATCGCAGCACCGAGATCACGCCGTCCCTGACACACGCTTGGTTGCGCCCGCCGGAAGCGGCAGTCACTGATCACCTTGCCGGCTACCCGCCGCCGAAAGCTCTACTTTTCAACTGAAATCTAAACGCACGGCGGAAACTTCACGTTCCAACCGAAGTCGGAACGCGCATACACTGTGATTTCTACAGCAGTAGCTTGTAAGGAAATTTCAGAAAATGCCGGCTCTTGTACGCCCGCGAAGGCCACAAGCAGACTGGGTTCGTTCACGATTCATTCCAGCTCAATTCCACACCATGGCCTTGGAAATTCCACGAGGATTCGAACGGGCATTCTCGGAACGTTGATATTTTTGTTGAATTTCATCGTTTTCAGCTTTGGAGCAACGGAAACAATCGCAACAAGAGGGTGCCAGCCCGAACTCGGCGAGTGTTGGTGGCGAACATTGCACAGAGCTCAAACCTTTGCACCTCGCCGCAAAATTCATCCCTTCCATTTCCCTCCCCACCGAGTCTTCCTCTCGCATGGTGGTCATGAAACCACACAACATATCTCTTCTCGCCTTTTAGCACTGGCTATGGCAAACGTATGGAGATTATCGTACAAGGCTCAAAGCATCCCGGATCCCAGCATCTGTTGTGGCAACTCGCGACGCAAGTGTTGCGATGGCGAGAAAAATCTTCATCTCTTTCACCTCAGAATGGCATATATTCCGATGTTTCGTCGCTCGGATAGCTCAACCAAGTTACTTTTTTTTTTTTTGTGGTCTTCACTTTCAATCAGCGCTCACGGCACTAGTGCCGTTTACTCCATCCCGTGGTCACACAAAAGAGCCCCTCTCCACCCTCCCCTCCTGCGGTATTTTGCCTTCGATTTTTTGATGCGGGAAGAGTTCAGCACTCTCTTCCCTCTGTGACACACGAACTAGCGCTATCCACTAGGCCAGGAGCGGAGCGAGAAAAAAACTCACTTTGCAAGAAAAGCTCGCTTAAGCCGGGATTCGAACCCCTGACCTGACCTCTGGAAAGCTTCGAGGTTACAAACTAGACCATGTATGCCGGTGTGTGTATCAGGTGTTACGCGTGTTTGCCAGAAATGGCAATCGCTCAACCATTTGTACGTCGTCGTTTTGCAGTCAATGCAAGCCGAGCGCGGAGGCACCCGTTATGGGGTTCTGGCGTTTCAAGAGGACGGATAATTCCCCGTGCTCATTCGAGTGCACCTCGAATACATCCCCTTTCATTTCGATGATGATCCAGCTAGTAGGGAATGTAGCTGTCTGTCCATCCTAGGCTGAGATGGCCTCCACAAGGTGAGAATCATACAACCTCATGACGATACCACCTTTCCTTATCCCCTTTTCATCTCTATTTCTGCGTTCGAGCGCCTTTCGGGAATCACACCTACACCCTTTTAGATTCGGGTTGGATAAGCGAAACATGATTTGTGCACGCTGTATCTCGAAGTGACAGAGGGCTACAGTGGCATAGCTCCGACACGTCACGTCCTACAGTACTGCGGTGCAACTCCCTCCTTTTTATAATATTGAGAGACGTAGATATATTGCGCTTTTGTTCCTTGTTTGAACCTCCAGTGGCGGTGAAACATTTTTGGACACAACGTCAAGATGGACCTGGCACTTGTCGTGTTCCAATTGTCGAGTTCAAGCCTACATGAGTGTTGGGTACAGCATCGGTTGAGGCTGTGTGGCTCTGTCCGTGTAACTTTTCCGAGAGGTTGCCCCGCTGAGTATCCGCAGCCGGGACAAGATCACCCCCCAACACCAGTCTATATATTCTCTGCGTGCCCTCCTTCGCCGTGCCCAATGTCGAAAGAGAAGCTCCACCCCGCCTCATCTCCTCAAGACTACCATCGCACGTCAATCAAGGTGAGTAGCCTGCTGGATGGATGGCGTGTTCGGACACTGCTGGTACCGTGCCCTTGCTATTGGTTTATTTTCATTTGGTGGCTCCAATCCTGAAATAAGTATTGGACAATGCGACGGCTCTACGGGCACTCCAAACTGTGCCGTGCCTGGTGCACGTGTGCGCTGACGATCTCCAGGCGGCGTGTTATATTCTATGTCATTTATCCCTCTCCCCCGTCAGCTACACTGCCATTGGTCTCTAGACTTTCTCTAGTGAGCTCGGTAGGAGTGAATCGCCGCAGCTCACACAGCAGGTTGCGCCCCTGCCGCACAAAGCATGTATGTCCCCGCTTGTTTCAATCATAGCATGGCCAAAGACTGCATAAAGAGCATCACACTGTTCTCACATTAAACCTACGGGCAGAGGACAAGAAACAGCGTAAAGGCAGGAAAGCATCAGTCGCGATGAAAACAATCCTGATTGCTGGGAATCAGTCTCCGCTGTCAGGGCAGTCCTGCAATGCCCACATAAATAATGGTTGAAAACCGATTATACCGAACAGCCCGCGTTGAGATCGTTTCGTACGTCAAGCTGCATAGATGAAACCAGACCCTCGCAGTCCGATCGCTGGAAAACAGTCTTCGTGGTCAGGGCGGTGTGTCCTTAAGCAGCAAGCTCAACCAATGGTTCAAGGATGGTCGGAATTCGCCATGTCGCCCCATCGATGCAAATCTACAGTAGTAATAGCCCGCAATATATACAAAAGATTCACACTTCTAACTTGCGAACGACACCAAATTCCCCCCGAAAATCACCAAACCTTGTGCGATACACTTGTAGCTTCACGATATCTGGTTGCTCTGGTGCTTCATGGTTGGTCGTGGGTGTGTTGTGAGTGACGAGGAATCTGCATTGTTTCATAATCACAAAAGTCGAGGGACGAGCTAGCGTTCATTCGGAAACGTGAGAGGGAAGCACGGCTGAAACGTTCTCGCCTTGACACCCGGCGGCACGATTGAAGCGGAGTCTGTTGACGCTACCAACGAACCGACGGGAAAAAGCTATGCAAGCGGTGTGCATAGGTGATGTAGATTTGAGGAAGGGAAAAGGTCGGAAGTTCAAATCAAATTATGTATACAGGAGAAAACACAGTGCTGTTCTTTGGTCACACCGTTGATACAGGACACCCGCTGAACATAGAGCTGAATTCACAATTCATGGCCTCTGATTACTGAATATTCACTTGAAAGCTTGTGCGTTGGAGTGGCGGTAGATCCAGCTAGAGTCTCCATGTGAGGTAACCACTGCTTTGAATAATGTGAAGTGAAGTCCCATGCTGACTAAACCCGCCGTCTCCTCCGTATCTTAGTGTTATGTTGTTGAGGGTGGCATCGTGAGCATTTACCGCAGTTCAAGGAGCAAATGATACCAACAACTGCTATCCCGTATTCTGCAACGAGAGAAAGTCAAAAACGTTTTGTGTTGAATGCAGGTATAGTCATGTGGCTGGTTTAGAAGGTGTCTACAGTACACGACACGAAGGCGTTGAAAAGATCGCGCCTCCAGAGGACGATCCCGCATGGTCGATGCGCTTCCTCCGTTCTCTGAAGCCCCCATTCCGGAGTATTTTTTTTTTGTTCATTTTTTTTTTGTCTTTACTTCATATCAGGGCTCACAGCACTGGTGCCGTTTACTCCATCCCGTGGTCACACAGAAGAGCCCCTCTCGACCTTCCCCTCCTGCAGTACGTTGCCTTCGATTGTTAATGCGAGAAGAGTTCAGCACTTTCTCTTCCCTCTGTGTACACACGAACTGGCGCTATCCACTAGGCCAGGAACGGAAGCGAGAGAAAAACTCACTTTGCAAGAAACCCTCGCTTACGCCGGGATTCGAACCCCTGACCTGACCTCTAGAAGGTCACGGGGATACCAACTAGACCACCGGGGCGACCGGTATTACCTTGGACCCAAAACGTATGGTCTTGGTCGTACGTTCACCAGCCCCCACCATGGATAGTTCATTACACCTTGGCAGCGCAATTGTTGAAGAGAACTAACTTCGTCTATCACGTCAACTTGGTATCCTGTCGCCGAGCGGCCACTTCTCCCCGGTACCACAAGTAGCCACCCACAATGTCAAACTCAACAGCGAACCACAAGCTGCCGCACATTTACCACACACGAGCACTGCCGCTCCACCTTCCGTCCGAAGGTTGGGACTGGGCTCCGGCCGAAGTAGGTTCAGAAACAACAGTGGAACTCCCTGCTGACCAGGGGGAGATATGAATAATGTAGTAGAACTCAAGAGCAATAAGCCCCCAGCCATGTTTCTCGTGAGGCACGCCCCCCTACATCCCAGGCTTGAGAGGACATTTTTCTTCCTGTTGTTTACTGGACGAGGAGGGTAATTGTTTGCCCGTCATTTTCTAGTTGACTTGGGTGGAAAGTCAAGCAAGAGCATACTTACTCTCCAGCAGCCGCCCACTTGCCGTGGGAAGCGGGATATTCATTACTAGTGAATGCGAGGATTATTCGACACATTGTGTTCGTTGCGACAATTATCTCATCTCGCGTCGATCTGGAGTTTCCTCCACCCCCTACCCCGACGCCGTACATATTAATTCTTTTCCACAGGCCGTGTCACTCACTGTCTTCCTCGGTGGTGGACGGTTTCTCCGAACTCACTTCGGTCGCGTCAAACATGTACGGCGCCGTGCGTCAGGCGGCGCAGAAGGTAGGGCGCGCTGAGAGCAGGGGCGAATATTTTTTCCTTCGTCCTATTGCCGGGCCAATTTCATGCCCATCGCACGTCGACCGAACTCAACTCGCGTAGGCGTGATTATGTAGAGTCAAGTGCGGAAGGCGGTTGATGAACTTCAACCCTTCATTCCGCTGTTAACCCCTTGCGCTGCTACCGCAGTAACGCATGCCCTCAACTC